TGACTAGTGACTGATTGGACTTGGAATGGTGGAATGATGAACCCTGAGCCCTAAACCCTAAACCCTAAACCCTAAACCCTAAACCCTAAACCCTAAACCCTAAACCCTCAATCCTGAACCCTGAACCCTAAACCCTAAGCCCTAAACCCTAAACCCTAAACCCTAAACCCACCCTAAACCCGAAACCCACTCTAAACCCGAAACCCTAATCCCTAAACCCTAAACCCTCAACCCTCAACCCTAAACCCTAAACCCTAAACCCTAAACCTTAAACCCGAAACCCTAAACCCGAAACCCGAAACCCTAAACCCTAAACCCTAAACCCTAAACCCTGAACCCTGAACCCTGAACCCTGAACCCTGAACCCTGAACCCTAAACCCTAAATCCTAAACCCTAAACCCTAAACCCTAAACCCTAAACGGAGGAGGGCGAGCAGCCGAAATCGACTGCGAATGGCCCCACGCTGTCGCCTGGCTGGATGAAGATACACTTTTTGGGTTTAGGGTTTAGGGTTTAGGTGTAGGGTTTAGGGTTTAGGGTTTTGGGTCGTATAATCACCTCCAGAACTGAAAGTGTACACTTTTTGGGGCTTATGAACGCAGCAACTAGGAGATCTGGGCTGTATGGTTTAGTTTAGGGTTTCGGGTTTCGGGTTTCGGGTTTAGAGTTTAGGGTTTAGGGTTTGGGGCTTAGGGTTGTGGGCTTAAGGTTTAGGGGTTTAGGGTTTAGGCCGGTCTCAGGCTTTTGTGTTGCCGAACCTCCTTTCTGTCCACCTCCTCATCCTCCTACTTGGACGGAAGGGGAGAGGCGGAGCTACTATCGGCAGCGCCTGATGCAGTTTCACTCGTCAATTGCTTGGGAACAAGGTGGTGCCCGATTGGGCATACAAGCACGTGTTGGTGCTCCAGGGCCTTGGGGGAGGCCCCAATCCCTGCAGTGCAGTTGACTATTGCTGTCAGCTGAGTGTGGGGGTATGGAGAGCGAGTTGCTCGTGGCGAAAGAAGCGCAGGGACAGCCTGGAATCTCGCTGTTCGACGCGCCTCACCAATGCCTTGCTGCCTTGTCGGCCACAAAAAAAAAGCCGTGCCGGCGACATCCCCTGGTAGGTGTCCATACCAGAATCATGGGTTGCCCTACTACTTCCCCCCTCTATACTACCCCCCTAGGTTCCCCCCTTAAATAGACTTAATTCGGCCTACTCATCCCTGAAGAGCCTTAACAACCTCTAACCCCTCGGACAAACTGAGCCCCTAAACCCGAAACCCTCAATGCTATGTACCCGAAGCCTAAGCCCCAAATCCTAATCCCTAACGCCCCAAGAGATGCTGGAGTTTAATGATTGCTTTTGGGGGTTCATAGGGCTTGGGGGTAGGTCGGTTTCAGGGTTTAGGGCTAGGAGACGGTATGTGATTGAGGTTGTTAGGGTTTATAGGCTTTAGGGTTTCTGGGGTTTTAAGGTTTAGGGCTTATAGGGATGAGGTTCCGCAATGTGGGAGTGTGCAGCCCCATGGTCCTAATGTCACCCCAAGCCCCCCCCCCCCCCCAAACCCCCACAAAGCCCGAAGCCATAAGTCCCCAACCCCAAACCCCAAGTCCGAAACCCGAAGCCCCGAACCCGAAACTCCCAAACCCGAAACTCTAAACCCTAAGCCCTAAACCCTGAACCCTGAATTTTGAATCCTGAACCCTGAACCCTGAATCCTGAACCCTGAAGCCTGAACCCTGAACCCAAACCCCGAACACCGCAGCTCTCTGCCTCGACCCGCCAGAGAGCCAAGGCTGGCAGAGCTCAGAGTACACCAGCCCGGCGCCACGAAGGCCGCGGAAGATATTTTCAGAAAGGGTCTTAGGGTTTAGGGCTAAGAGGGTGTAAGTTCGGGTCTGGAGTTTAGGGTTCAGGGTTGAGGGTTTAGTGTTTATCTGGGTTTCCGAACATAGGGGGCAGCTTCTTGGGGTCCTTAGTATAAGGGAATCCTACTATTTGGGGGTTTAAAAACGGGTGCCTATTTTCGTAAACATCCATTTTTAAGGAACAGTCTAAGGGTTTAGGGCTAAGAGGGTGTAAGTTCGGGTTTGGGGTTGAGGGTTTAGGGTTTAGGGTTGTATCTTGGGTTTAGGGTTGAGGATTCGGGTTTAGGGCTTAGGGGGTTTAGGAGGTATAGGGTCTTGTTCTTGTTTGTTGGTGTGGGGTTTAGGGTTTAGGGTTCTTCGGCTTTTAGGCTTTTACGTTTTAGTGTTTAAAACAGGCGCATGTACGGGTCTTGATCTGATGATGGCATATTGGTCTAGAGCGACGGTTCTGCAACGGGCCTTTGGCGGCATTTCGCACAAACTCAACCCCCAAGTCCTAGCTGGGTATAGGACTTGGAATGCTTCGCCTTCCCCAAACCCTAAACCCCAAACCCAAAATCCCAAACGCACCAAAACCCCAGAAAACCAAAACAAACAGCCTAAACCCTAAACCCTAAACCCTAAACTCTAAACCCTAAATTCTAAGCCAAAAGCAAAATGCGCCGAGCGCCAGGAAGACTACCACGATGCGGCCACGGATGCGTGGGACATTGATGGGCTGGAGTCGGACCTGGCTCTCGCCAAGGAGCAGGCAGGGTTTAGGGTCGAGGGTCTAGGGTTTAGGGTTTAGGGTCTAGGGTTTAGGGTTTAGGGTTTGGGGTTTAGGGTTTAGGGTTGAGGGTTTAGGGTTTAGGGTTTAGTGTTTCGGTTTTGGGGTTTTAGGGTTTCAGGGTTTCAGGGTTATACGGTCTGTGGCCCATTGTTTAGGGTGATGCGGTTTTTCGGGATTCTAGGGTTGAGGGTTTAGGTTTGGAGGGGCTGGGGGTCTAAACCGCACATCCGAAACCTCCCGAATCCCCGCAACATCTCTCTCTCTCTCTCTCTCTCGCTCTCTCTCTCTCTCTCTCTCTCTCTCTCTCTCTCTCTCTCGCGAACCCCCGAAGGGTTCAGGGTTTCAGGGTTATGGGCTGAGGGTTTAGGGTTAAGGGTTTAGGGTTTCCAAAGAAATAGCACGTTTTTTTTTGTTGGGGTTCCAAGTTCACTATAGCAACTTCAGGCCCGGAGTAGAAGCTCTTGGGGCAACAAGGGTCCAGGGTCTGGGCTTTGGAGTTTAGGGGTTTGTTTAGGGTTTAGGGGTTTAAGGTTTCAGGGTTAAACGGTTTAGCGTTTCGTTTCTAGGGTTTAACTAGGACCAATCCCACCTCCCAGATGCCCAAGAAGCCTTCGCTGCTATTTACGGTCTAGGGCTTAAAGTTTAGGCTGACATAGCCCAGAAAGCTCTTCGAGGATTCCCATTGACGCCTCTCTTGTGTGTGTTTTGTTGACAGCGGTCTGTACTGCGGCTCCTTAAGCTTTCAAACGGCTTCTTCAGAGCTTTTTAAGAGGCTGGGAGCGTGAATATAACCACCCCATTGATCTACTAGCGCTTGTACGGGTGCCCTGAACCCTGTACCCTAAACCCTAAACCCTAAACCCTAAACCCTAAACCCTAAACCCTAAACCCTAAACCCTAAACCCTAAACCCTAAACCCTAAACCCTAAACCCTAAACCCTAAACCCTAAACCCTAAACCCTAAACCCTAAACCCTAAACCCTAAACCCTAAACCCTAAACCCTAAACCCTAAGCCCAACACCTTGAACCCAACAGATCGTGAAGGGTGCTGAGCAGGCCAAGCAACAGCTGCAGACCCCGAACGTCGAGGCTGGGTTGTGCATACCAGGCTTGGGTTTAGGGTTTAGGGTTTAGGGTTTAGGGTTTAGGGTTTAGGGTTTAGGGTTTAGGGTTTAGGGTTTAGGGTTTAGGGGTTAGGGGTTAGGGGTTAGGGGTTAGGGGTTAGGGGTTTCGGGTCCTGGGTTTTGGGGTCTTAGTGTTAGGGTTAGGCTTTTTGGTTTAGGGTTCAGGGAGACTTAGGGTTTAGGGTTTAGTGTTTAGGGTTTAGGGTTTAGGGTTTGGGGTTGAGGCCTCCTCCTCCGTGAATATTGACCAGGAGGGTATGCTGGGCTCGGATACTTCTTGGGTCCTTTGGGGGTTGGGGGCAATTCAGGGTACCTGGACTGCGCCACAAACTCACCCTAAACCCTAAACTTTTTTTCAAACCCTGAACCCTAAACCCTAAATCCCCCTAAACCCTAAACCTTAAACCCTAAACCCTAAACCCTAAACCCTGAACCTAAACCCTAAACCCTAAACCCTAAACCCACCAAACCCTAAACCCTAAACCCTAAACCCTAAACCCTAAACCCTAAACCCTAAACCCTAAACCCTAAACCCTAAACCCTAAACCCTAAACCCACCAAACCCTAAACCCTAAACCCTAAACCCTAAACCCTAAACCCTAAACCCTAAACCCTAAACCCTAAACCCTAAACCCTAAACCCCCCAGAACCGTCATCCAGAACTCTCCCTTCAATGCCGAGAGCAACTTGGAGGCTGCTGGTCCCTCCAATGGCGCTGTGAGTGCCAAGGTGCGCTTTGGGACAGCTCAGGGCTGAAGATTGCTGTTTAGGGTTTAGGGTTTAGGGTCTAGGGTTTGGGGTTTAGGGTTTAGGGTTTAGGGTTTAGGGTTTAGGGTTTAGGGACTCCGATGGTTTTAGGGACAATACGGGGGTTGGGGGGCTTGAAGAGGGGAGCCACTAGAAAGTCCTGGCCCGCACAAGAGGTAGGGCGGTTCTCCCTTATTGGAATCATCGCTAGGGGGTTAGGGTTTGGGGCCTTTAGGGTTTAATGTAGGGGCCTTGTGGGGGTCAATATAATTGTGAAGAGGCCATAAAGGAATACTATTAGTAACTATTCCGACGACTATTGTAGGGTTTGGGGCATGCTACAAGTACACGTACCTGTTGTGGTGCTGCTATAGGGTGGAACAGTCCAACCTAAAACCCGCAAGAAGCCAGCAAGAATCCCAGACGTGAGTGCATCCGGCCGATGTAAAATGGCTCATTTTGTTCATGCTATGCCTGCGACGAGCTTAGGTTTCCTTGGGAAGTATGGCGAGTGCTTGTTGCTTTTTTTTATAGCTATTTTATATATGATCCACATTGGGTGTTAGGTATTGGAACGACAGCATGAGACTCCTTCCCATCTCCCAAACCCTAAACTAATTTCTGAGGGTAGCCTCCGTCTTCATCCTAAACCCTCCCCCCTCCCCCCAAGATTGAGGGTTCGGCGGCATGCAGACCCACACCCCAGCCGGTAGTCGCGCCCAAACCCTAAATCGTGTTTCCTGAACCCTGAACCCTAAACCCCTAAACCTGAGCCCCTAAACCCTAAACCCTAAACCCTGCAGGCCGAAGTCTCAGACACCACCGTCAGCCCCGAGAAGCTCTTCGTGGAGCTGAAGACGATGGATCCGGAAGTTAGCCGGGTGCGCTCTGCAGTGGCTAGCAGCCCTAAACCCTAAACTCTAAACCCTAAACCCTAAACCCTAAACCCTAAACCCTAAACCCTAAACCCTAAACCCTAAACCCTAAACCCTAAACCCTAAACCCTAAACCTTAGATGCCCTAAACCCTTAAGCATGAGTTCCAAGCTCGTACTACCCTTCAGGGTTTCCTTAATGTCCCCGTTCAACCCTAAACCCTGCACCCTAAACCCCAAACCCTAAACCCCAAACCCTAAACCCTAAACCCTAAAACCTAAAACCCTAAACCCTAAACCGCCGGTGGTTTTCAGGGCTCTGGGGTCGGACCATCGAAAGGCTGAGGGGAGTTTTGGCATTTGCATCGCTTCCCAGAGCCTCAAGAGCCTAAAACGCCCTTGAAGTCCAAGGTTTATGGTTTGGGTTGAGGGTTGAGGGTTAAGGGTTTAGGGTTTGGGGTTTAGGGCAGGGTTTAGGGTTTAGGGTTTAGGGTTTAGGGTTTAGGGTTTAGGGTTTAGGGTTTAGGGTTTAGGGTTTGGGGTTTGGGGTTTGGGGTTTGGGGTTAGTGTTTAGGGTTTGGCTTTTAGGGCTGCAAGCGAATTGACTGTACCAGGCTCGGGCTTGGAAGGGTCTGCTACCCTAAGACCGCGGGTGCAGGTTTTGTTGGTTTTGGGTCTAAGGGATCAGGGTTTAGGGTTCAGGGTTTAGGGCTTAAGGGATTAGGGTTTAGGGTGCATGAGGGTTAGTGTTCTACATGGTTCTGGAGTTGTAGAGTTAGGGATTAGGCGTTTAATTTATAATCGAAACCCTAGACCCCAAACCCCAAACCCCAAACCCCAAAACCCCAAACCCCACACCCCAAATCCTGCATGAGGACTACTACAACCCCGAAACCCTAAACCCTAAACCCTAAACCCTAAACCCTAAACCCGAAACCCGAAACCCGAAACCCTAAACCCTAAACCCTAAACCCTAAACCCCAAGCCCTAAACCCTAAACCCTAAACCCTACACCCCCCTCCTGCATCAGGAGGACTACTACAACCCCGAAACCCTAAACCCTAAACCCCCCAGAATCCGGCATCAGGAGGACTACTACAACCCTGAAAGCGACAGCTGGGACATTGCAGGCCTCGAGGATGACTTGCGCTTGTCCAAGGCGGGGGAGCGCCAGCTGCAAGTTTACCTGCAGGGCTGTTTAGGGTTTAGGGTTTAGGGCCTTCAGGGTTTAGGGTTTGGGGTTTAGGGTTTAGGGTTTGGGGTTTAGGGTTTAGGGTTGGCCTGAGGGAACTCCTATGGCCCTGTTCGTGGGGGTTCGAAGAGTCGGTGACGGGGTGTCACTGCCAACTCAAACCCTAAACCCTAAACTCTGAACCCTAAACCCTAAACCCTAAACCCTAAACCCTAAACCCTAAACCCTAAACCCTAAACCCTACGTCCCAAAACCCTACATCCCTAAGCGCTACATCCCTCAACCCTTGTAAACCTAAACCCGACATCCCTCAGCCCTACAGCCCACAGCCCTTGAAAACCCAAAGCCCTGCATCCCTAAGTCCCTGAGCTCTGCATCCCGAAACCCTAAACCCTAAACCCTAAACCCTAAACCCTAAACCCTAAACCCTAAACCCTAAACCCTACATCCTTAAGTCCCTAAGGCTCTACATCCCTAAACCCTAAACCCTAAACCCTAAACCCGAAACCCTAAACCCTAAACCCTACACCCTGGAGGTCGAGCAGGAGTTGTCGACCACCCAGCAGAAGCCCGTGGAGGCTCGCTGGGTCTAGGCTTTTCCGGGCTGTGGTAGGGTTTACGATGTAGGGTTTAGGGGGTTATGAACTCGGACTTCGTAAACCCTAAACCCTAACCCTAAGGCCAAGCCCTAGGCCCTAAGCCCAAAGCCCTAAGCCCTAAGCCCTAAGCCCGAAGCCTTAAGCCCTAAGCCCTAAGCCCTAAGCCTTAAACCCTAAACCCTAAACCCTAAGCCTTAAACCCTAAACCCTAAACCCTGCATAACTTCTAACTCGGATTCAAGAGTTGAATTCTAAGTTAAGCGCGCTTTCTGTGACCTCACCCAGCTGTTCTACAGAGTCTGTCTGGGACTTCTCCGGCCAATACCAGGGCTGCAAGAGGCCCCTAAACCCTAAACCTGCTTGTGGTCGCTTTGAGTGGTTCGGGTTTAGGGTTCAGGGTTTAGGGTTTAGGGTTTAGGGTCTAGGGTCTAGGGTTTAAGGTTCAGGGTTTAGCGTTCGAAGAGTTCATGGTTTAATGCGTTTAGGGTGCACAAGTCTCAGGGTTTCAACGGTATAGGGTCCTGACATCTTGATTCCTAAGCCATGACGTCTCCACCCGAAGTTCACGAAACCATAGTACCCGAATGCTTTCACATGCAGTTGCCCTAAACCCTAAACCCTAAACCCTAAACCCTAAACCCTAAACCCTAAACCCTAAACCCTAAAACCTAAAACCTAGAGTGATGCAGCAGCCATTTGTCGGTTTCACGAATTGAACGAACCAACCGGCTGCATAGCCCGTGCGCCCTAAACCTTAAACTCTAAACCCTAAACTCTAAACCCTAAACCCTAAACCCTAAACCCTAAACCCTAAGCCCTAAGCCCTAAACCCTAAACCCTAAACCCTGAGCCCAGAGCCCTAGGCCCTAGAATTTAAGAGGTGTATGCCGCACGTACCTTTGAGCAGCTCTTTGCGGAGCTGAAGGCGCTTGATCCCACTGCCAACGAGGCTCCGCACTGGGTTTAGGGTTTCGGGTTAAGGGTTTAGGGTTTAGGGTTTGGGGTTAAGGGTTTAGGATTTCGGGTTTTATCGTTGAGGGTTTTGCCTAATTAAGCCCTAAGCCCTAAACCCTGAGCCCTAAGCCCCAAACATTTTGTAAGGGGACTTCCAGCAGGCAGACTACTACGACGATGCTAGCGGCATCTGGGATGCGGATGGGCTGGAGGATGACCTTCGCATTCTCAAGGCACAGGCCGTATGAGTCGGGTTTAGGGTTTAGGGTTTAGGGTTTAGGGTTTAGGGTTTAGGGCTTAGGGTTCAGGGGCATGAAGACATGCCCACCCCAAGACCCCCCAACAAGACCGCCAAGCAAGACTCACTTGGGAGTTTAGGTTTCGGGTGTAGCGTTTCCGAAATTTGGGATACCTTATCGAGGTCCTTCTTTTACTATTTGGGGCTCTATATGAATGAGGCCGCCCTTCGTTTCGTAAACCCCCACTTATCAACCTGTCTCAGGCTCAAAACGGTATCCGAGTCGCAAGTTTTCTGGGACATGCAGTTTACGGTTTCCGCTGGGGTTTGGGGTTTAGGGTTTAGGGTTTAGGGTTTAGGGTTTAGGGTTTAGGGTTTAGGGTTTAGGGTTTACATCAAGAGGTTCGGGTCCAGAACCGTATCCGAAGCTCAAGTCGCAAAGCTTCCGTGGTGTCAAACTCATTGGCCATCACTTGTAAGGCTTGAAGGTTATATATATATATGTATACGTATATATATATATATATATATATATATACTTTTTTTTTTTGGGGGGGGGGTGTTTCAGTCTGAGTGTTTGAGTCTGAGGGCGTTTCTCCTCAAGCAAGTATGCTTTGGTCCAGAAATGGGGGTTTACCTGTAAGTTCCTGAAAGTTGGAACATGGTTTAAGGATGACTAGAGCCGGGATTCCCTTTAGTATACCTTCTGGGGTATGGAGATAAGGATGTTCCAACTTTTTTGGAGTTTTCTGTACGAAATTGGGTACCTTACTTGGGGCCTTTTTTTGAGGGAATTATACTCTTCGGGGAATCTTGGGGGTCCCCTGTTTTCGTAAACACCCAGATCTATCCCAACAGCGCTCTTGCCGGGAGTTTAATGTGCGGTGTCCGGCCAGCGCCACCGGACTGGGTCCAGGGTTTCAGGCTCTTGGTTTTGGGTTGTAGGGTTTTGGGTTCCGGGTTTTGGGTTTCAGGTTTTGGGGTAGAGGTTCAGGGTTTGCTTGCCCTTTAAGCACCAGTGAGTTGGGTCTAGAGGGGTTTAGGGTTTAGGGTCTAGCGTTGACGGTGAGTTGGGTCTAGATGATGAAATCAGCAATGATAGCTTTCCACTACCATTCGCACGGCGAGAACCCTGGGATTCTCAGAAGAACCGCCTGTCTTGGACATAACCTAAACCCCAAGCCCCCAACCCCAGATCCCAAACCCCAAACCCCAAACCCCAAACCCCAAACCCCAAACCCCAAACCCCAAACCCCAAACCCCAAACCCCAAACCCCAAACCCCAAACCCTAAACCCTAAACCCTAAACCTTAAACCCTAAACCCTAAACCCTAAATCCTAACCCTAAACCCTAAACCCTAAACCCTAAAACCCCAAACCCTCACCAATCCGAAGGCTTCCTCCTCGGCACCTGCTGCTGCGGCTGCGCCGGCTACAGTGCAGCAGGCTGGGGTTTAGGGTTTAGGGTTTAGAGTTTAGGGTTTAGGGTTTAGGGTTTTGGGTTTTGGGTTTTGGGTTTAGGGTTTAGGGTTTAGGGTGACTTTCGCAGCCCCTTAGGGTGAAATGCATCTCGTTTAAGCTCAAGGCATTCAGCCGGTAAGGCGGTTTATTCTTAGGGTTCAGGCTTTGTAGGGCTTAGCTAGGAAGTCGCGTCTAGGTTTGCAGATTTTTTTGGATTTAGGGTTCAGGGTTTAGGGTTTAGGGTTTAGGATTCAGGGTTTAGGATTTAGGGTTTGTGGATTTGGGTGACATGGCTAGGGATGAGGGTTACATTGCGTCAAACAAGGCTAGGGCTTTGGCCAAACCTTAACCCTAAACCGCAAACCCTAAACCCCAAACCCTAAACCTGCTGCAGTCTGCTGTTAACGATTCCAGGTTCGGATAGCTCTGAGACGCCGAAGGGTGACTGGTTTAGGGTTTCGGGGTTTAGGGATAGGGTTCAGGGTTTAGGGTTTAGGATTTTGGGTTTAGAGTTTAGGGTTTAGGGTTCAGCATTCAGGCTTCAGGGGAAGCCTCGCAACCCGAAACTCTCGGGCTCTAGACCCTTACATCCTCAGACCCCCACCAAAAAATGCCTGAAATTCATCCAGCAGTGTATTCTGTAATAATGCCCTAAACCCACAAACCCTACACCCCAAATCCCTAACACCCTGAACTCCGAACCCTAAATCCGTGTGGAATGACCCCTGACGTGCACGCTGTTGCGGGCTGCCAGGTTTCGCCGGTTCTTTGGGCGTGTTGAAAGTCAAGTTTTCAGCTTCGGGGTGTCGGGGCAGACGCTTTAGGGTTGGGGTTTAGGGTTTAAGATACCCTAAACCCTAAACCCTAAACCCTGAACCTTGAACCCTGAACCCTGATTCCTGAACCCTAAACCCTGAACCCTGAACCCTCAACCCTAAACCAGTTTTCGGGTAGGACCGTCTCGACACGGAGGATGGCAACCTGGAGAGCCTGGCCCAGGGCTTGACACAACTTTGCCTACGCCACGAAACGGAGTTCGCGGAGCTGCACGGGGACAGAGGCGCATACATTCTTCATCTCTCGACGGAAGACCACGGCATTGCACAGCCGTTCATCCAAGCAGTGTCACAAACTCTACAACGAAGACCGCTCCAAGCCAGGCTCCGGTCTTCCCCCACCGTTCCTGACCGCAACCCCAACTCGCAGAGTTCATCGACGGCGGGTTAGGGCTTAGGGTTTAGGGTTTAGGGTTTAGGGTTTAGGGTTTGGGGTTTGGGGTTTAGGGTTTAGGGTTTACGGTTTAGGGCGCCCCTGCAAGCATCGCAAGCGTGTACGTTGGCAACGTGGAGCCGGGAATGGAAGATGAGGCATTGAAATCCTTCTTCGGGAGCTGAAGCTGAGCTTCCAGAAGATACCTGAAGTCCCTACAGTACCCTAACTACCTCTTTTCCTTTCAGCTCTTTCCTTTCATGAACAGCATGAACCCGTGGTCTTTTTCTTTGGAGAACCTGGGAAACCAAAAAGTCCATGGAGGGTTAAGTTTAGGGTGTAGCAGTTGGGTCTTACAGTTGCATGTATAGAGGGCATGTAGGGTTTAGGGTTATATGGTCGTATGTATAGAGCAGTCCGGGTTTAGGAATTAGGGTCTCAAGGTTAGATAGTGGCATGTATAGAGCAGCGTAGGCGCATGTATGGAGCATTTAGGGTTTAGGGTCTAGGGTTATTCAGTAGTACGTATAGAGCATGTCGGGGTTGCGGTTACTTAGAGTTTCGGGTTATAGTTGTGAATAACACCCCCAATCAGGGCCCCTCCCAGACCCTGCACCCTGAGCCCTAAACCCTAAACCCTAAGCCCTAAGCCCTAAACCCTAAACCCTAAACTCTGAACCCTAAACCCTAAACCCTAAACCCTAAACCCTAAACCCTAAACCCCTAAAGCCCTTAACCCCTAACCCCTTAAAGTGAGCCCCCAGAGGACGGCGGCGATCTGCTCTTTGCCGAGATCCAAGCCCTAGACCCGTCGGCAAGCAAGGACTCCCCGACGTATCATGGGTTTAGGGTTTAGGGTTTAGGGTTTAGGGTTTAGGGTTTAGGGTTTAGGGTTTAGGGTTTAGGGTTTATGGCTACTCCCCCTAGGTTCCCCCATACTTAAGGCTATTTTTAGGGATAATTAAGCCTAATTAAGGGTATTTGAGGGGGGAACCTAGGAGGGGTAGTATAGAGAGCGGGGGAGAAGGGACTCCCGACTTAAGGGGCACCCATGTGGCCCCCAAGCCCACAGATCAGGGTTTAGGGTTTAGGGTTTAGGGTTTAGGGTTTAGGGTTTAGGGTTTAGGGTTTAGGGTTTAGGGTTTAGGGTTTAGGGTTTAGGGTTTAGGGTTTAGGGTTTAGGGTTTATTAGGGTTTAGGGTTTAGGGTTTAGGGTTTAGGGTTTAGGGTTTAGGGTTTAGGGTTTAGGGTTTAGGGTTTAGGGTTTAGGGTTTAGGGTTTAGGGTTTAGGGTTTAGGGTTAAACCAAAATTTGTTTCGGAAAGTAAAGCCCCGCTTATCTCTGACCAACCACGACACTATCTTGAACAAGATCCAGGCAGCAACAGAGCGGACACCGAAGATGCACCTAGCATGGGGCTCTGTCGTGGAGGCAACGGTCCTGAACCCGAAGGGCATGTGCTTGGTCTTCGAGAAATCCTTCATCATCGAAGGTTTCGCACAGAAGCCAATGCCACTGTGACCATGGGTTCCAGCGGTCGAGAGTTGCGCGGGCATGTGGGTCGATCTTTTGTTGCGATTGCATTGTCGGCCAAGACTAGAGTCAGAGGTTTGATTTGAGCCTAAGCCCTTACTATGCCCTAACAACCCGATCGGGAGATGAGTCGGCTGAATTACTGCGATTCCACTGCAGTCGGCCAGGCAAGCAGTCGGCGAATTCCAGAAGCAGACTTAGAAATCCCAAACCATGAAAAACCCTACACTGAGCGGTTGCTGATTGGTTTAGAGTTTAGGGATCAGGGTTTGGGGTTTAGGGTTTAGGGTTTCGGTCCCAAACCCCAAAACCCTAAAACCCTGAACCCCTGAACTTGCTTGACCCCAACCCCCCCAAACCGCGAACCCTTATGTACTTCGTCCTTACACAAACCTTATTGCCCTCAGATGAGGCTTATGCTCCCTGCCTAAAGCCCGTGGAGCCCTGAACCCTCTAAACCCCGATAAACACTAACCCTAAACCCTAAACCCTAAGCCCTAAACCCTAAACCCTCAACCCTAAACCCTAAACCCTAAACCCGAAACCCTAAACCCCTAAACCCCGAAACCCTAAACGCCTTCACAGCAAAAGGAAGACTACTACGACGCCGCTGGTGACGTCTGGGACCTCGACGGGTTGAAGGACGACCTCCGCCTGGCCAAGGTGGGGGGTTTAGGGTTTAGGGTTTGGGTTTAGGGTTGAGGGTTTAGGGTTTAGGGTTGAGGGTTTAGGGTTTAGGGTTTGGGTTTAGAATTTTAGGGTTGAGGGTTTGGGGTTTAGGGTTTCGGGTTTATTGTTTAGGGTTTAGGGTTTAGGGTACTCCCTAAGGCTCCCTAAGGTTCCCTAGGTACCTACCCCCCTTGAACCCCATCTCCCTTAAGATGGAGTTTAGAATTTTAGGGTTGTAGGGTTTTAGGGTTTCAGGCTTTGAGGGTTTAAAGTCAGGGTTTGAGGGATTTAGGATTCCTAGACCCTAACCCCTCGAAAAGCAACATAGACCTTCAAACTGGATGCAAGCAGCACATGAGACCTAAAGCCCTAAACCCTAAGACCCTAAAGCCCTAAACCCTAAAACCCTACAGCCCTAAACCCCAAGGCCCTATCCCCTAAGGCCCTACACCCTAAAGCCAAGAGCCCTAAACTCCATCTTAAGGGAGGGGGGGTTCAAGGGGGGTAGGTACCTAGGGAACCTTAGGGAGCCTTAGGGAGTACCCTAAACCCTAAACCCTAAACCCTCAACCCCAAACCCTAAACCCTAAACCCTAAACCCTGAACCCTAAACCCTAAACCCTAAACCCTAAACCCTGAACCCCCTTCCTTTGAGAACCCTATAACTCCAGCTCCGTTGGGCGCAGGCAGCAGCTACGTCTCCTTCTTTGCAGGCGGGTGGGTGGGTGGCGGGGGGGCTGGGCGGGTTTGGTTGTTCAAGGCTTTGGGTTACCCTAAGCCCTAAACGCTAAACCCTCAACCTTTTAACCCTAAACCCGAAACCCTCAACCTTAAACCCTAAAACCCGAAACCCGAAACTCTGAACCTGAAACCCTAAAACCCGACACCCGAAACCCTCAACCCTGCCCCCTAGCGCCCTAAATCCGACATCCTCAACCCTAAACCCTAAAACCCTAATCCCGAAATCCTCAACCTTACACCCTAAAACCCGAAACCCTAAAGCCCAAAAACTCGAAACTCTAAAGCCCAGACCCTACACCCTAAACCCTAAAGCCTAAACCCTAAACCCTAAACCCCAAAGCCTAAACCCTAAACCCTAAAACCCTAAAACCCTACAAGCCTAAGCCCCTCTGCCCCTTCTGGGTGCCTCTGTTGCTGTGGCGTCTTGGGGCTTCGGGTCGAGGACGGCTTTCGCGGATGGAGCAGGGTCCCCCAAATCCCTGGGTTTAGGGTTTAGGGTTTAGGGTTTAGGGTTTAGGGTTTAGGGTTTAGGGTTTAGGGTTTAGGGTTTAGGGTTTAGGGTTTGGGGCTTTGAAGCCCTGAACCCCGAACCCCGACAGGCTTTGAATCTTGACGAAGGTACCAAGCGTGTCGCCGACGCTCCAACCTAGTTCAAGGTTTGTTTGTCGCTTCAAACTACTGATGTGGCATATTTCGTGGAGGCTAGGGTTTAGGGTTTAGGGTTTAGGGTTTAGGGTTTAGGGTTTAGGGTTTAGGGTTTAGGGTTTAGGGTTTAGGGTTTAGGGTTTAGGGTTTAGGGTTTAGGGTTTAGGGTTGAGGATATCGGATTTAGGGCTTTAGGGTTTAGGGTTTGGGGTTTAGAAGAAGTTGTGGTCGCTTCTGTGTCGGCGAAGACAGTCCAATCATCATCCTGACAGACGCAGACGCTGTGGACACTGGAGGTTCGCCGGAGAAGTCGCAAGCAACCCCGTGTGAGGATTCGCAGGCGTTTAGAGGCCCCAGTCCCAGACAGATGAGCCTGAGAAGTGGTTTAGGCTTTATAGGCTTTTAGGGTTTAGGGTTCGGGGTATAGGGTTTAGGGTTTAGGGTTTGGGGTTTGGGGTTTACGGTTGGAAAACTGGTAGTAGTGGTTTAGACCGACAATGTCCGAATGAACGTGGTTTGGCCGAACCCCCTTTAAACCCTTTAAACCCTACTAAGCCTTACTAAACTAAGCTCTACTAGACCCTATTAAACCCTGCTGAACCCTTCTAAACTCTGCTAAACCCCTCTAAACCCTACCTAGGAGCCTCCAGCTCAGGACGCCGACCCAAGAGGCCCCAATCCTCGCAACGCCCAAAGATCAAATCCACCCAGCCCGAAGCGCTTAAAAAACTCTGCAAGTTGTTTTGGGGGCAAGTGTCTTGGCCTGGCTGCTGCCGAAGCCCTTACCCAACTCTGCAAGTTGTTTTGGGGCTGCTGTGGGGGTGGGGGTGGGGGTGGGGGTGGGGGGGGGGGTGGGGGTGGGGGTGGGGGGGTGGGGGGGTGGGGGGTGGGGGGGGGGGTTGGGGGTGGGGGGGGTGGGTGGGGGGGGGTTTGGGGGGGGGGCGGGGGGGGGGGGGTGGGGGTGGGGTGGGGTGGTGGGGGTGGTGGGGGTGAGGGCTTCGAACACCTGCACACTGCCGTGAAGGGTCCAAGGACCCTCTACTGCCCTGAGGTACCCCGGTCAGGGGGTCTCAGGGTCATGACTGGAGGGAAGCAGGCCGATCCAGTAATGTTGTAAAAGGGTGAAGTGGAGAACCTCAAGCACTATCCACTATGAAAGTGATAATGCACTTCGGGAGGCATGGATCCACACACACACATGTCTACTTGGTCGAAGTTGCTTCAGGGTTGAATACGTAGGTACACATGGCCTAACGTTTCCAATGAAGAGCGCGACGCAACTTTCTTACACAGGCATGTGCAGTCCAGGCAGCGTTGGTGCGTCTGCACCGTCTTGTCCAGGATGACTCCCCCGCAGGGGAACCGTGCGAGGAGGAGTGGAAAGCGTGTTCTCACAATGCAACTCAGCGGCCAGCCGAGATTCGTTCTGTCTTTTTCCTATCTTGCACCGTCTTGTCCAGGATGCCTCCCCAGTAAGGAACCCAGAGGAGAAGGAGTGGAAAACGCGTTCTCGTGATGTAATAATTCAGCAGAGATGCATGGCTGGCTTTGTGGGACGATGCTGTGGGAGAAGATGCCGGCGAGTCAGGCCCACCAAGCTGAGGATACAGTCGCACGAAGTAAGTGCACGCTGTGCGCGTTTATGGCAGATGCCGATGTTGTTGATGGCTACAACTTTCGCCGTCGTGAGGCCAGAACACCTCGATTAAGACAGTGAACAAAGCCGATTGGCTGTGTCACGTACTGTTTTCACAATTGTGCAGTGCTTCACTTCCGGTTGCAGGTCAAGCGGCAACCGAAGGTGTCATGCAGTCGTCTTCGTCTGCGCATTCATCTGCTGCCGAACTTGAAAGTGCTGATGCTCAAGTCGCTTGCTCATTCGTGCAGGCCGGCATTGCAAAATGCACAGTAGAGTGCTTGAGAAGAAGCCATGACTTGTTGCAGGCTGAGTCGTGAAATTGGACGGCTCTGGTCCAAAGACTTCGGCAACCGCGCCCACAAGCCGCCAAAGCTCACTGCGTTGTTTGGCGAAGAAACGACCAGTCGCTGTCCGAGAATGAGGTCAGGAGGAGCGCTGGCGGCGGCTCCAGCCGAGACTGACACGGCCCGCAGCAATAGAGTCGAGAGTTGTGTCGAGAGTTGTGTCAAGCAGATGGTGTGAGTGCGCGGACGCGACGACCATGTCAGGTGGGCCATAGACCTCGAGTGGCGTCCGTGGCGCCCTCGGAGTGCGCCTGGAGCTGGGTGCAACGCAGATGGTCGCCGCTCAGAGTACTCAACCCGCCCCACGGCAGGTTCCTGAGGGATGAGTTTCCAGAACTGTGGGGTGGAGCCCCGACTCTTGCCCGGACCGTCAGAGATGCGTTGCGACAAGGCTTTGCCATCGTGGCCTTACAGCAAAGGTTTTTAATGGCAAGGATTCCTCGCAGGAAGGTTCGCAGGGAAGTCGCCGCAGAGTTCGGTGGGGGAAACCTACCAGGCAAACCCCGAACCCAAAACCCTGAACAGCGACCGGAGCAAATTTGGAGTTAGACTTTAGCTACGCTGAAGGTGGTCGGGTACGGCCGCCCCTTAGCCGAGTACTGACTAAAGAAAGCCGATGTCCGTGGCCCGTGGCCTGTCCAGGATAGACGGTAGTCTGAATTCTACAACTGGCATTTTCTTCTCCGCAAACTCCCGCAGGGTTGTTGCAAAAACCTAAAAGTGGGGCCTTGAGAATTGAGGCCTTCGGGAGGGATATCGTGTAGCGCTGCTGAAGGGTATGGAGAGACAGAGTGCGCCAAGGCGACCGCGCGTGGTCTGCGGAGGCACAGAGGTACAGAATGTAAGCCCCGCGGTATTGTAGGCGGAAGACAAGACAAGTAAGGACGCAGGACGCGAAGGCAAGGCCGAGGATGCCCATTGCTGAGGCCCGCTGCCTTGCATCGACGCCGGAGAAGCCAGTATAAAAGTCTCTCGTTTGTCGAAAGAGAGGAGCACCAGTTTCTTGCTATGCTCTGCCGTAGTCGAAAAGAACAAAGAGCCGGCCATATCGATGCCTCTCGCGCCATGCTCTGCAAGCATGGAAAAGAACAAAAAGGCTTGTCACAATATTTAAAGCCCCAGTCAAAATTGTTTGTTCAACCCCAGCATGGGGCTGATTCTTTGCCGGGATGGGTGAAGCAGACAGGGCTGCTTTCAAAGCCGACCCCAAGCCTCTTAAGCCCTGAGCGCTCAGAGACAGAGTCCAGGTCCAGGCCTCAGTCAGAGAAGTCGATTCGCCAGGGTCGGCGGGCTCAACGTACTCAACCCGACGAAACAAAACTCTAGTCCCCAAACCAAGGCCAAAGGAGGAGGCCCTAAACCCTAAACCCTGAACCTTAAACCCTAAGCCCTAAACCCTAAACCCTAAACTCGAAACCCTATACCCTATACATACCCTAAACCCTAACCCGAAACCCTAAACCCTAAACCTAAACCCTTACGGATCTATAGCGTTTGGAGTTTAGGGTTTTACAGGGTCTCAAGATTCCTGGATGCCCAGGGCGTTTGGGTTTGGGGTGTAGGAAGCCTGAAATGCACATAAGGGTGAAACCCCAAACCCTAAACCCTAAATCCTAACCCCTAAACCCCAAACCCTAGACCCTAAACCCTAAACCCCAAACCCTGTAAACCCTAAACCCCAAAGCCTAAGCCTCATCTGTCTGGGGAGACCGGGCCCGGCAAGCTCTTTGCCGAGCTCAAGTCCCTGGATCCGGCGGCGAGCAAGGCCCGGGCGCCTGGGCAGTCCAGGTCCCTAAGCCCTGAACCCTAAACCCTAAACCCTACACCCGAAACCCTGAACCCTAAACCCTAAACCCTAAACCCTCAAGCAGCGAGAGGGTTCTGGAACTGCGGCAGGTGGTGTTGGCTAGGTTGGGAGCTTCAGGGGTGAACGCCAAACTCGTGCTGCCCTTTTGGTCTTTCTGGGTTCTGCATTCCTTTATAAAGTAGCTAACGCCCAAAAAAAGGACACCCTTGTTTCTGGGCTACCAAGAAACTGGCTACGATGTCATGGGCCCTGATATGAATTAGGGTTTATATTGCTGTTATGGTGAGTGTATATAAGGTTCCTTTTTAATTTTGGTGAGTGTGAATACCCGGTGTCCTTTGGGGGTACTAGAGATATGCTTGACTTTCAGCCTCAGCCTTGCAAATGGATTGACAATTTAAAATTTCCTTTTGATCTCACATTTCCCAGCAACCTCTTCTTCGTTCCTGCCTCTGATTTGCAATGTACTTGCAGAAATCTGTCTCTTCTGCAAGCGCAAACTGTGATTGAACAAGGTGTCAATTGTCAAATCATTCGTATTCTGCCACAGGCCTTTCTTGACGCAGTTTCTGGCAAAAGCTGTCAACTTCAAGACAAAGATCTTTCAGCTGAATGGCCCACCTTTCGCACAAATGGCAAGTTCGCGCCGCCCACCTGGCTTACACAGGTATCGGATTGCAAGCTTTTGCCTATTCAGTTTCAAGAAATTACTTGCATTTCGCAATTGCCTCTGTCGACTTGGTGCAACATGGATCCTGTTGACGTCAGGTGCAAATTGCGTGGCATCACCAAAAGGTTCATTGCGGCCAAGAGGAGATATGAATGCTTCAAAACACATTTTCTCAGGGTTATGGAGCTTGCTAATTTAAACGATGCACGCCTTCCACACATCCTTTCCTCTGAGTGGACAATGGATTTCCGTTGTCATTTCTGTAAGCGACAAATTTTCTTCTGCAAAGCTCCTGACATGCTTCAATATTTTTGCTTCAAAGCTGTGCTGCTTGATGCAGACACGGTCGCTGATTGGGTTCAACGCTTTGATGACACCATTGACTCTATCTCCTCTATCCTTGCGAAGCTTAACCATTGATCGGTAAATTCACGTCCTCGACCACTGATGTTGTGTGCTTGCTAACCGTGCTTAGTACAAATCTAAGCTGTCTCACCTTGATATGATTCACGACCTCGAGTCCGCAGTACTAGAGATATGCACCCTACTTCATATAGGTTGAGGTTTAATTGGGGTCTTCTCACACAGGAAGCCCTAAACCCAAAACCCCAAAACCCTAAACCCTAACAGGCCGACTACTACGATCCTGTGGGCGAATTCTGGGATGTCGAGGGGCTCGAGGACGACCTACGCCTGGCCAAGGTGGCAGGGCGCTCTTTTGAAGTCGGTTGAGGGCTTAGGGTTTAGTGTCGGCGAGGGTTTAGTGTCGGTGAGTCGCAACGGTTGCTTAAGGCTTTCGGGTCTTTTTCTGGGATTCCGACAATGGGAGTTTCATAATCCTTAAACAGCTTCATCCTGATATCATTTCATGTAACACCTTGCCCGTCCCCTCCCCCCACCCCCCCCCAACAAATAACAGCAAAAGAAAAACCAGAAAAAAGAAAGGGACATAAACCCCAAATCCTAAACCCCAAATCCTAAACCCTAATCCCTAAACCCTAATCCCTAAACCCTTATCATCGGAACCTCAAACGATATAGGCTTCAGAGTTTTTGCCCGTAGGCTGTACATGCTACTTCGGGCGGGAATGTCGTGTTTGGGGTGAAAGATGTCGCCTCCAAGGCCTCGATTGCTTTGAGGCCTACAGGGGGTAGGGTTGAGGGTTTGGGGTTTGGGGTTTAGGGCCTAGGGTTTAGGGTTTAGGGTTCAGGGTCTAGGGTTCAGGGTTTAGGGTTTAGGGTCTAGGGTTTAGGAGTTTAGGGTTTAGGGTTTAGGTTCAGTTGCAGGGACTTCGAAGCCCCAGTGCAGGCTGCCGCCGCTCCCGCGCGAGCGGCGCCATCTCCGGCGGCCTCACCGCCTGCAGCCAAGCAGGCAGGGCTCCGGGAAGGAGTTGTAGTTTTAGGGTTGAGGGTTTAGGGTTGAGGGTTTAGGGTTTAGAGTTCAGCAGTTGGACTTGGGCCATTTGTTGTCGCAACCGTTGCATAAGGCTTTTGGGGTTTCTCCTAAACCCTAAACCCTAAACCCTAAACCCTAAGCCCTAAACCCAAAACCGTAAGCTTTCGGGGTTTCATACGGGGTTGATTGAATCCTGAGATGCAGGCTGCAGCTGCTCCAGCACCAGCCACGCCATCTGCCGCGGCTGCGCCATCTCCAGCCAAGCAGGCTGGGTTTAGGGTTTAGGGTTTAGGGTTTAGGGTTTAGGGTTTAGGGTTCAGGGTTTAGGGTTTAGGGTTTAGGGTTTAGGGTTTTGGGTTTCGGGCTCCGGGTTTAGGGGTGCGTAAACTCTCCGCACGAGCAGGGCTCTGGTAAATGAGCAGAGGAAATGGAGGAACCGGGGCAAACTAAACCCTAAACCCCAACCCTAAACCTTAAACCCTAAACCCTGAACCCTGAACCCTAAACCCTAAACCCTAAACCCTAAACCGCCCGGTTTGAGCAAGGGTTTCGAGTTTAGGGTTTAGGGTTTAGGGTTTAGGGTTTAGGGTTGCGGCTTTATCCTAGGACCGGGAGTAGGCCCTTACAATCCCCTTAAACCAACAAGGGCACCCTTTTTATTCCTAGCTTACTCCCGGGTCTAGTATGTTGGTAGGAAATTTGCATGCTGAAGTGTCAAAAACCCTGTACAACGACGGGGAACACCCAAAAGCGACGCCCCTTGTAGTAACCATAGCAGAAAGAAGCATAGCCCTCCATTGCGACGCCCAAGGCGACGCCCTAGCGACACCCATTTGGAAGGCTTGATTATCTGACTTCAACAGTTGGCTGGCGCGTAACACAAACCCCTGTAAAGCGACGGGGTGCAGTTGGGCCCATGGCAAAACCATCCAAAACCCTTGTAAAGCGAGGGGGAACACCGAAAAGCGACGCCCCCCGTTGCACAACCTAGGCCCGACATCTAAAGTTTTGACGGTCGCTCACATGGGTATTTCCGAACATGCTCCAAAATGCTCTTCCTTGCCTAAATCACCGTAAACCCTAATTCCTAAACCCTAAACTCTAAACCCTAAATCCTAAACCCTAAACCCTCAGGCGAATGGACCGACCAGAGGAGAGAAGCTCTTTGCCGAGCTGCTTTCCGTAGACCCGGCTGCTAGCAAGGCCTCCGTTCTTCGTCCTGGCTGTGCTGTGCTTGGGTTTAGGGTTCAGGGTTCAGGGTTCAGGGTTCAGGGTTCAGGGTTTAGGGTTTAGGGTTTAGGGTTTAGGGTTTAGGGTTTAGGGTTTAGGGTTTAGGGTTTAGGGTTTAGGGTTTAGGGTTTAGGGTTTAGGGTTTAGGGTTAGGGTTCAGGATTTAGGGCTTAGGGTTGGGTTTAGGCCCCTAAACCTCATAAACCATAACCTCCTAGACCCTAGACCCCAGAGGGGTTTACGTATATTTATCTTATTATTAGTGTTTCCTAAAGGAGCTATCGCTAAACACCCTAAACTCTCTATAAGTACATGCATGCAATTATATATATATATAGCTATATGTTGTCATTATTCTTATTGGTATTACATCATTATTGTTATTATTTGTTTATTTGTTTATTTGTTTATTTGCTTATTTGTTTATTTGTTTATTTGTTTATTTGTTTACTTGTTTATTTGTTTATTTGTTTATTTGTTTATTTGTTTATTTGTTTATTTGTTTATTTGTTTGTTTGTTTGTTTATTTATCATTTATTTCGTATTTATTTATTGTTTTTGTTGTTGTTACCATTATTATTATTACTATCATTAATAATATTATGGTTATTAGGATTATTACTATTTTTTATTGATCATACGTCTTATCATTCTTTTTTATTCTTATTCTGATTTACTATTTGTGATTCTGCTTCTTCTTCTTCTTCTTCTTATTCTTGTTTTATTCTTATTCTTATTATTGTGATTATTATTATTCTTGTTTTTTTTGTGAGGGCACCGCCCCGGGTAGGCCCTTGTGGTATGTCTTATGCTTCCCCCTTTTGGGGTTTAGGGTTTAGGGCTTGAGGTTTAGGGTTTAGCCTGTTGGGTTCATGCTTTAGGGTATAGGGTACCAAAAAGCAGAAGCCAGAGTCTTTGCCGTTATACATTGTGGTATCGCAGTTCTTTACTCGGAAGCTCCTCGGTGAAAGAGTTCTTAAGGGAGGGGTTCAAGGTTCTCAAATACTCGCCACTACTCCCTCGATCTCCCTCAGCTTCCGTCAGGTTCCGTTTAGGTACCTACCCACATGAGCCTTAAAAACGAAACCCTAAACCCTAAACCCTAAACCCTAAAACCAAAAAAACCAAAAAAAACCGAAAACTCTAAACCCCAAAAACCCTTAACCCTCAACCCTAAACCCCCCCATTCCAGAACGGGGAAGGCATCGAGTGTGCGCTCCTACTTGCGTCGAGTGTGCGCTCCTGGGTGTGTTTCGAAGCATCAATGCTAAGCCGCACCCTAAAAACCCTAAACCCGAAAAACCCTATGCCCTAAAAATCCTAAACCCTAAAATCCTAAACCCTAAAAACCCTAAACCCTAAAATCCCTAAACCTAAACCCTAAAAAAAACTCTAAACCCAAAAAACCCTACACCTAAAAACCCTAAACCCTAAAGACCCCTAAGCCTTAAAAACCCTAGACCCTAAAATCCGTAAAACCCAAAGCCCTAAAAACCCCAAACCCTAAAAACCCTAAACCCTAAAAACCCAAAACCCCAAAAACCCTAAACCCAAAAACCCTAAAAACCGTAAACCCAAAGAACCCTAAACCCTAAAGACCCGAAACCCTAAAAACCCTAAACCCTCTAAACCCTTCAAACCCTCTAAGCCCTAAAAAACCTAAGAACCCCTAAAAACCCTAACAACCCAAAAACACCCTAAAGACCCTAAACCCTAAAAACCCTAAACCTTAAAACCACTAAAAACCCAAAAAACCCAAAAAACCCCAAAGAAGACCCCTAAACCCTAAAAACCCTAAACCCAAAACCCTAGACACCCTAAACCCTAAAAACCCTAAACCCCAAAAACCCTAAACCCTAAAAACCCGGCAGCTTCGAGGAGTGCGCACCGGATGCAAAAAGAGTGCGCACTGGATGCTGATGTAGGAGTGCGCACTGGATGCAAAACGGAGTGCGCACTGGAGCGCCCTGCCCCACGAACCCCCCCTCCCTTACGGACTCGTTCTGCCTCATATGCCACACGATACATGGGGTTCTGGGGTTTAGGGTTTCCCTTTTGGGTTTAGGGTTACGCCCTATGAGGGATTGTACAGGGTACCTCATTCTCCGACTGCCTTCTCAGAACCATAAGGTTATGTAGCTGCTGGTGCACTTAATATTAAGCAACGGTGAAATGCTGACTCGGCAAGCAGATTCCCGGGTACCCCAAGTGGGTGGTCCAGAAGCATTGATAAGTTGCTTTTTGAATCCGGGTGCACCCCCACGAGCTGGGAAGGGCGTTTCTGGAAGCACCCTAAACCCTAAACCCTAAACCCTAAACCTTAAACCCTAAACCCTAAACCCTAAAGCCTAAACCCTAAACCTTAAACCGTAAACCCTAAACCCTAAATCCTACACCCTAAACCCTGCGGAGCCATCCTGAGCCCTATCAGGCCTGAACCCCAAACTGGTTTAGGGCAGTAGGGTTGAGGGTTTCGCGCAATGGCCCCTTGAGGAACGAGGCCCCCCACCAACCTGAATAAACAGCCCTAAACCCGAAGCCCTAAACCGTAAACCCTAAACCCTAAACCCTAAATCTCTGAACAGGAAGACTACTACATTCCTGCTGGCGATGTCTGGGATATCGAAGGGCTGGAGGACGACTTGCGCCTGGCCAAGGTACCTCACAGGGATGCCTTTTGCACGCTGTGTTCCCCTCCGTTCACGGGATCTACAAGGGTTTAGGGTCTACAGCGTATCTTGTCCTAAGTAAGGGTTTAGGGTTTAGGGTTTAGGGTTTAGGGTTTAGGGTTTAGGGTTTAGGGTTTAGGGTTTAGGGTTTAGGGTTTAGGGTTTAGGGTTTAGGGTTTAGGGTTTAGGGTTTGAGTTTTCGGGTTTAGGGTTTACAGTCCATAGGGTTCAGGGTTCGTGGTTGAGGGTCCCGCTGAGCAACCCTCAGAGGAAGTATGAACGAGATGCTATCATTCATTGCTTGGGGTAGCAGTTGTTATACTCGGCCAGCCCGAGAATCGCGGCTGAAAAGGAGTTTCCATCAAGAGAACCTTGTGCCCCAAACTTATCTATCAGGGGACCGGCGGCAAGTGTCACGCGTTTGCCCTTGCTTTCAAAAGTTTGCCTCAGCTTGCCTGGCTGTTCAAGTACCATCTTAAACCCAAAGCCCTAGGCCCTATAAACCCTCACGACCCGTACGCCAAAAAACGCTTCCAGAGGCTTGGGTTTCAGAGCCGGGGGTTTAGGATTGAGGGTAAACCCTAAACCCTACACCCTAAACCCTAAACCCTAAACCCTAAACCCTAAACCCTAAACCTTAAACCCTAAACCCTAAACCCTAAACCTCAAGGATGAACCTGGTCTTAAGTTTAGGCCTCAAGCTTCAGCCTTTTGAGTCTGCGGTTTAGGGTTTAGGGACCCCCGTGGTCTATAGATGAGTGGTATGCTTCTATTGGTTTACTGGCCTCTTTGCCTGCGAGCATGTATGGGGTTTAGGGTTCAGGGCTAGGGTTTAGGGTTTAGAGTTTAGGGTTTAGGGTTCAGGGTGTAGGTTGTAGGGTTCAGGGTTTAGAGTTTAGGGTTTCCGGCTTCCGAAAGGTGTCTCATGTATAGGACGGCACCCTCAGAAGAAGGACCCCCCCCCCCCCAAAAAAAAAAAAAAAAAAAAACAGAGAGAGACCCTAACTTAGAGAACTATCCATGCATGTTTGATGTTTTTTTTCTTTGCCTGGGGGTTGGTGACGTGGTGCATCCCGCGTCGCTTCCCGGTGGCGGGGGTTCACAAGCCCTAAAACCTAAACCCCAATCCCCTAAACCCGAATCCCTAAACCCTATCCCCCGGAACTCTAAACCCTGAACCCTAAACCCTAAATCCTAAACCCTAAATCCTAAACCCTATCCCCCTAAACTCTGAATAAACCCTGAACCCTAAACCGTAAATCCTGGACCCTGAACCCATGTACTTGTGGGGGCCCAAGAGGCCAGTGAACCAAAAACAGCAGACCACTCATCTGTCGAACCCCGGGGTCCCTGAACCCTGAACCCTAAACCCTAAACCCTAAGCTGGAAGCCCCAAACCCTAAACCCTAAAACCTAAACCCTAAACCCTAGCCTAAACCCTAAACCCGATGCCTGCTCGAAGGCGGCTAGACCTCCTGCTTCGCCGGCCAAGCAGGCTGGGCTCAACCCCTAAACCCTAAACCCTGAGCCCTAAACCCTCAACCCTCAACCCTCAACCCTACACCCTACACCCTAAACCCTACACCCTGTTTCTTGAGTCAGGTGAACGGCCAGAGCAAGCCTGAAACCCTATTGGCTGAGCTGATGTCCGTGGACCCGGCTGCAAGCAAGGCAGGCGGCCGAACATCTCAGTTTAGGGTTTAGGGTTTGGGGGTAGGGTTGTTTGGGGTTTAGGGTTTAGGGTTTCGGGTTTAGGGTTTAGGGTTTAGATTTAGAGTTTAGGGTTTAGGGTTTAGGGTTTAGGAGCAGAACTTGCGGTTAGGGTCTTGGGTTTTGAATTTGGGAGTCCGGCGTTTAGGCCTTCATTCTTCGCGTAGGCTCCGGGGGGTCTTATCGACTGAAGCGCGTGCCCCCAGAGCTGTTTGGAGCCCTAAACCCTAAACCCTAAACCCTAAACCCTAAACCCTAAACCCTAAACCCTAAACCCTAAACCCTAAACCCTAAACCCTAAACCCTAAACCCTAAACCCTTAGCAATCGAGATCCCTTTCAGGTGGATGGCTTCCCCTTTTTACCACGTATATGACCCCATCCACGAATCGCTAGTACCCTAAGCCGTAAACCCAAAGCCGTGAAACCCTGAACCCTGAAACACTAAAGCCCTGAATCCCTAAACCCTAAACCCTAAACCCTAAACCCTAAACCCTAAACCCTAAACCCTAAACCCTAAACCCTAAGGCTTGAACAACCCGGGCGCCACCTTATCGCGAATCCTAAGCCCTGCACCGTAAACACGAGTCCGGTTCCTCGGATATTGTGGGGTTGCTCAGCCTGAAACCCGAGAACTCTAAAACCCTAAAGCCCTGAATCGCTAAAGCCTGAGACCGCGGTAAGCCCTAAACCCCACAGACCCTAGAACCCGAATACTCTAAAACCCGCAAACCCCAAACCCCAAAAACCCTAAAGCCCCCGAAGCCCCGATGAATGCCTCAACCTCTAAGACGAAAGAGGACCCTAAAACTAAACCCTAAACCCTAAACCCTAAACCCTAAACCCTAAACCCTAAACCCTAAACCCTAAACCCTAAACCCTAAACCCAAAACCAAAAACCCTAAACCCTAAACCCTAAACCCTAAACCCTAAACCCTAAACCCTAAACCTCTAAGACGAAGGAGGATTACTACGATGCGGATAGCGACTTCTGGGACTTGGAAGGTCTCCAGGACGACTTGCGCCTGGCCAAGGCGGGCAGCTAGGTTTGGGGCTTGGGGTCTAGGGCTAAGCCCGAAACCCTAAACCCTAGACCCTAAACCCTAAACCCTAAACCTTAACCCTTAAACCCTGAACCCTAAACCCTAAACCCTAACCCAGTGTTTGGTGTTTAGGTTCCCAACTCAGAATTGAAGGCTTGAGAAGAGCTTGAACGCCGAGTGAGCTCTATTGTAGAGGCCACGGGTCCTAAACTTAAGCCCGGCCCTTCATGAGAAAACAGTGGCGCCCGACAGTGTGGTGTAGTTTAGGGTTTAGGGTTTAGGGTTTAGGGTTTAGGGTTTAGGGTTTAGGGTTTAGGGTTTAGGGTTCAGGGTTGAGGGTTTAGGGTGTAGGGTTTAGTCTATATTCCCTTGTTAAGGCTTGTTGAGGGTGTATTTGTGCCAGGCCCTTCTTGGGGAATATGGGCCCTACTACACCGTGCTCGCTCCCTCCCCACCTCCCAACAAAAGCCCTTTTGACTTAGTAAGTCTACTTAGTACTGTATGACAGAATGCCCTAGAAACCCTTTAGTACTCCCCAAACATACTATTCCTACTTGCTAAGTTAAAGGGCATCCAGCTAGGGTAGCACAGTATACCTATGGCGCGTGGAAGTCAATGTTTAGTGCTTGGATTTGAGGGTGAAAGGCCTACCCTCAAGGCTCAATACCCTAAACCCGAAACCCTAAACCCTAAACCCTAAACCCTAAACCCTAAACCCTACACCCTAAACCCTAAACCCTAAACCCTAAACCCTAAGCCTTCGAGGCTCAATACCCCTATAAACCCTAAACCCTCAACCCTAAACCCTAAACCCTAAACCCTAAACCCCACCCTAAACCCTACACCCTAAACCCCAAATACCATCCTAAGCAACCTTGCCACAGCGAGGAGGCTGCTCGGCTTCCACCGCCGCCCAAGGCGCGCAGCGCGAAAGGTGTCGACTTCTTGTTCATGCTATGGGGTTTCGGAAAACATAGGGGTTACCCTTCTTAAAGTCTTGGTGGTTCCGAACTTGGTAGCCCGGTGGTACCCTTATAAAGTAACAAACCTCAAATAAGGTACCCTCAATATAGCATGGTCACTGGCTACCGAGATAAGGATTGTAGCATTTTGAGGGGTTTAGGGTTTAGGGTTTAGGGTTTAGGGTTTAGGGTTTAGGGTTTAGGGTTTAAGGTTTAGGGTTTAGGGTTTAGGGTACATTTTGGGGCTGTCCTCTTCTTGGACATCCATGTTGGGGGCTGGTAGAGCGTTCCTGAATCCTAAGCCGCCCAGAAGGACTTTTCGAACGTTAAAGGCACGCAGGGGTGACCCTAAACCCTAAACCCTAAACCCTAAACCCTAAACCCTAAACCCTAAACCCTAAACCCTAAACCCTAAACCCTAAACCCTAAACCCTAAACCCCAAGCCCTTGGCATGTCCCCTCGGTGGGAAGTGCGCATGTTTTATTCCAGCAGCTGCTCATCAAGACAGGGTAATCCTGTCAGAACTTTCCCAAGTTCTTGAAGACGGCCCGCATGAGTGGGGCCGAAGTGCCTCAGGGATCGACAGGTCCACGAGTGTCGAGTCAGCTGACCCAGGTCATGGCAGAGCGAGAAACTGACATGACGACCAAGATCCTCACAGGCAGTGTCATTGCCAGCCTGGCCCAGGATGCCAGAGACGGCAAAGCCCCGGTGTTGCTCAAGTGTGTTCTCTGGTCGTGGCCACGGGGGCTGCCAGGTACTCTGTTGTCAGGGGTGACAAGTCTGAGTGCAGACACAGGACCTCCCTGGATAGAGGGTGATGTTTACGCCAGAGCCCGGGGTACACAAGGCGGACGGTCTGGTTCTTCTCATCTGGGGTACCCCAAATCCAAGGGTGTTATCACAGGACCCAAGAAAAGGGGCCACCACAGTCTAGAGAACCGACCCAGCAGGGTTTAGGGTTTAGGGTTTAGGGTTTAGGGTTTAGGGTTTAGGGTTTAGGGCCGTAAATCCTGAACCCTCAGGCCTAAACCCTCAACCTGCACATCCTCGAGCCTCCAGGTGACGCCCCGCAACTTTGCCGTGCCTGCAGCAAAGGAGGCGTTGGCACGGGTGATTAGGGTTTAGGGTTTGGGGGTTTAGGGTTTAGGGTTTAGGGTTTAGGGTTTAGGGTTTAGGGTTTAGGGTTTAGGGTTTAGGGTTTAGGGTTTAGGGTAGTTTTCCAAGACGGCGAGCGCGCTGCAACGCCCGCGCCCAAAATTCGAGCAGTCTTCGAGAAAACACAAACACGCCCGTCGCCCTTGTAGAGCTCGGACTCCAACTCACCAGACGCATTTGGGTTTAGGGTTTAGGGCTTAGGGCTTCGGGTTTAGGCTTTAAAATTAGGCTTTACGGACATTTGGATTCAAGAATGGCCAAAATGATGGCCCCTTCGGCCCCTTCAAGATTTCAAGGGCTCTGTAGAACCCTGGGGTTAAGCCGACAGCCATAAAGACGGACAGGAAGCCAGAAACAATCCTGACCCCCTTTTCAAAAACCATGACATCGCCTCATCTTTCTCATTGCAACCGGTATGGAGGTTCAATCTTGCGGAGGTTGGTGTTTTGGATAAGTATTTAGAAGCCCCCAGCCCTAAATCCTACTTGGGAAACCCAAAACCCTAAACCCTAAATTGCGAACCACAGAGGGATCCAGCTGTGCAAGTGCCAACAGACTCCGACGTCAAGTGTACAGGAGTGCTAGGACCCTCCCCGGTGCGAATACCATTTCGCCAGATTCAGCTTGTTTGCTCGGCTGTTGTTCTCAATCCCCTCCATTCGTCTATCACCAAACCCCAAACCCCAAACCCCAAACTCCAAACCCCAAACCCCAAACCCCAAAGCCCAAACCCCAACCCCAAACCCTAAACCCTAAACCCCAAATCCTAAACCCCAAACCTCTGAGCCGTTTCAGGCCCCGGCCGCCACGCCGGCGCAATCCAGCGCACCAGCTCAGGCGGCGCCGCAGGGTCTCAGGTAGCTCGAAGTAGGTTTCAGGGTTTAGGGTTTTTAGGGTTTTTAGGGTTTTTAGGGTTTTTAGGGTTTTTAGGGTTTTTAGGGTTTTTAGGGTTTTTAGGGTTTAGGGTTTAGGGTTTATTAGGGGAAAGCTGACAGCAATACAGACGGACAGGAAGCCAGAAGCAATCCTGACCCCCTTTCAATAGCCATGCCGTCACTTCATCATTCTCATTGCAACTAGTACGGAGGCTCAAACTTTGGGAGCGTTGGTTTTTCGGATAGACCCTAAGCCCCCCCAGCCCTAAACCCTACCTAGGAAACCCTGACCCAAACCCTCCACCCCGAAGCTTCAGGCCGCCGTCGCCACGCCGGCGCAGCCCAGTGCACCAGCTCAGGTGGCACCCGCAGGGTTTCAGGAGCCCGAAGTAGGGTTCAGGGTTTAGGGTTTAGGGTTTAGGGTTTAGGGTTTAGGGTTTAGGGTTTAGGGTTTAGGGTTTAGGGTTTAGGGTTTAGGGTTTAGGGTTGCGGGTTTAGGCTTTAGGGGGTTTAGGGTTTAGGGTTTGGGGTTTGGGGTTTAGGGTTTAGGGTTGAGGGTTTAGGGTTTAGGGTTTGGGGTTTAGGAAGTGAGGTTTAGGAAGTAAGCCCTATTGCTAGAGGCTACAGGTCCTAATCCCGAGCCCGGCTGCCCAGCCACTCACCAAACTTGAATGGGCTTTAGGGTTTAGGGTTTAGGGTTTAGGGTTTAGGGTTTAGGGTTTAGGGTTTAGGGTTTAGGGTTTAGGGTTTAGGGTTTAGGTTTAAGGGTTTAGGGTTTAGGGTTTAGGGTTTAGGGTTTAGGGTTTAGGGTTTAGGGTTTAGGGTTTAGGGTTTAGGGTTTAGGGTTTAGGGTTTAGGGTTTAGGGTTTAGGGTCCTAAGCCCTGAGCCCCCAAACGGAGGGCAACCAAAAGAAAGATTCGACATGCGGTTTAGGGTTTAGGGTTTAGGGTTTAGGGTTTAGGGTTTAGGGTTTAGGGTTTAGGGTTTAGGGTTTAGGGTTTAGGGTTTGACCAGCCCTTGGGAAATTTCACCTGTTCCTTTGCTGTGTTCGAGATGATCTGAATTTCAGGAAGTAGTAGCTTCAGAGGGTTTCAAGGGCCAGCAAGCAGACCCTAAACCTTAAACCTTAAGCCCTAAACCCTAAACCCTCAACACTCCAACCCTCAAACCCTGAAACTCGGATCCCTCAAGCCTGAACCTCAGGACTGCACGCGCACAGTGTGGAGAAATAAGAATGTCCGGGTTTTAGGTTTAGGGCAAAACCTCCGTTCAAAACTCTTGACCCTAAAAAGCCAAATCCCGAAACCCCCCCCTATACAGTTTCCAGCTTTCTAGTCTCTGGTGTCAAGGGCTGAACCCCTTAACATACCCTTATATTCGCTTAGGGATCCTTAACCCTAAACCCTAAACCCTAAACCCTAAACCCTAAACCCTAAACCCTAAACCCTAAACCTTAAAAAGGGACCCCAAAACCCAAGGGTACAGCCGCAAGGGTCCAAGGGGTAGGAACCCTCGATGGTGACCACGGTGGCCGCTAGGACCTAAGGGACGTGCCACGATTCCACCTTAGGGTTTAGGGTTTAGGGTTTAGGGTTTAGGGTGAGTTCTGAGTGCAGCATGGCGCAGCCCGTGCATGGACCCGGATGGGACCTCGGCTGACTGGCCGTGCTCCCTACATGGGAGTAGGGTTTTGGGGGTTTAGGGTGAGTTCTTAGTGGGGAGTTACCTAGGGAATATTGGTACCACAGAGCCCCTCATTCCTAGTTCAGAGCCAGGTAGGATGTACATAGTGCCACACCCAACACGCAAAGTTTGGGTTAAGGTTCAAGGGTTCAGAATACACCTAAAACCCTAGATCCCTCAACCCGTAAACCCTAAACCCTAAACCCAAAACCCTAAACCCTAAACCCTAAACCCTAAACCAAAAACCCTAAATCCCTCAACCCCTCATGGGTAGGCTGCTCCTGCGGCCGATGGCTCGACGCTGCTCCTGGGCTGGGGGTTTCGGGTTTAGGGGTTAGGGTTTAGGGTTTAGGGTTTAGGGTTTAGGGTGTAGGGTTTAGGGTACCCTTTACCCTGTTTTTGGTTCAGGGTTTACGGTTCAGGGTTCAGGGTTTAGGGGTTAGGGTTCCCTTGTAAAATAACCAGCCCCCAAAAGGGGGCCCGTATCAAAACATCGTTACTCGGCTACCAAATGTTTGTAACTTTTTGCCTTGATCCTTGCCTGTGTTATCAGGGTGTCTGCATACTCGAAACCGAAACCCTATTCCCCAAGCCCCCAAGCCATGCAGCGTTAGCCCCTCTCAGTTAAAAACCCTAAGCCCTAAACCCACAGCCCCTGTAAAGTCAGTGAAAGTTCGAAAGCGCTGAAGTTGAGGATTTGCATGGCCTTCAGTCCCTTGCTGAGCCGGGCTCTTGTAAGGGTCTAGGGGTCAGGTTTGGTTTTTGGCTCATTTTGGTTATTCTAGGCCCCCAGATAATGGCAACGGGTTGCTTTGGTAGTGTTATCGTATTCATACTTAATGGGGATGAAAAGGGAATTATGTAGGGTCTTTACATTCTCAGTTTTCAGGTTTACAGAGTTTGGGTTAGGAGTCACGGGGCCTTGGGACTCTTATCGTCCTTCTACAACCTTTAGTGCCCACACGTGTTATATGTATACATACATTACAATTCGAGATGCCTTATTTGGTGTACACCCCAAACCCTAAACCCTAAACCCTAAACCCTAAACCCTAAATCCTAAACCCTAAACCCTAAACCCTAAACCCTCAATCCTAAACCCTCAGCCCCACCGCGACACTCAGGTTGGCTGAGCTGCGTGTCTATGAGAGACATGCAGCGAAGGCGGGTTTGGGGGGGTTTAGGGTTTAGGGTTTAGGGTTTAGGGTTTAGGGTTTAGGGTTTAGGGTTAGGGTTCAGTAGTCCCAATGGGAAGGGATCATGGGGACAGTTGAGCTTTGGGCGTGGAGAGTAAGCCCTAAACCGCTAAACCCTAAGTCCTGGACCCTGAACAGCCCGATCCTTCGCACCCTAAACCCGAACCCTAAACCCGAGACCCTGATGGGAGTTCGGTGGGATTGTTAGCCCGAGGTCTGCAGGCTTAGGCTTGGAAGTATACATCGAGTCGTAAGTGGCTTTAGGCACACTAAACCCTAAACCCGCAGCCCTAAACCTTAAGCCCTACACCCTAAACTCCAAACCCTAAACCCTAAGCCTTGTTTTTTTTCAGCCCAGAACCAGAAGACCCCAGGGTAGGCCCTTCTTGGGTTTAGGGTTCAGGGTTTAGGGTTTAGGGTCTAGAGTTTAGGGTTCAGGGCTGGGACCCAGAGTAGGCCCTCATTCCCTTTGTTAGGGCTGAGGTGTCTCTTTTCGGCCCCTGTAGCCCAAAGAGGGTACCCTCTGTACTCCTAGGCTGCGTCATCGGTTTAGGGTTTAGGGTTGAGGGCTTAGGGTTTAGGGTTTGGTGTTCCCCCCCCCCCCCCCCCAACAAATCCCCAAACATAGGCCCTCATTACTTTGGGTCTTCGATTCATGGGGGGGGCACCCTTTCGAAGGGAAGGTTTGAGGGACTTGGTGACGAAAGCCCTCTAAAACCCTTGGGCGCGTCTACAGCAATCAGTGGCGCTTTCGAGTGCTGAGTCTGAACTGCATGCGCTGGTGGAAGGTGCAAGAGAGTCCTTGGGGCTTCGTTGCGCCGTTGGCCATGTGCTAGGGGTGGACACCCAGCTCATCCCTGCTACCTTCCGCGATAGCAAAGCAGCTATCAATGTTCCGAAA